ATCCCCTTTGGTGACAAGCACTGCGGGTGGGAGGGAGTCCAGTTGGTCTTGTTGATCCATAATTCAACTGGGTGGACTCGCTGTGGAGGAAAATGGAACCGAGGATTGTCGTGGGTTCCAGGGTACACTTAAGCAGAGGGTTATCTCCCTTGAAGGGTAAGTGATTCCAATTCACAGATTGCACCAGCAAAACACTCTCTTGCCCTGACCTCCCTTTTGCAGGCTGGAAGGGGTGGTGCTAATTACGATGCCCTTGCCAGGGGAAGATTTTTCCCATCCTTGTTATCTATCCAAACTGCCCTTTTTACCTCAGCGGCAGTGCAGTGCTTGCCTTAGCAAATTACCGAAGCCCTTCCTTCCACCTCTTTGACCCTTAAAAAGCATGTGAGATTTTTGCCAAAACCAGGACCCCTATCCATCGGGAAAGAGGAGTGAAGTGGGCCTTCCATCCATTTCTTTCATTCAAGCATGTGGCTGCCTGAGGGAGGGGGAGGGGGGGTACCAAACTGATGTCTAAGGGGTGTGGATGCTTTGACGAGAAGAAACCCCTCTTGACAAGCATCTTAATGTGAGTAGATTCACTTTTCTCTCATTGTATTTCATCAAATGGTCCCTCCTTTCCTTCCTTGCTCCCAAATCCAGTTGAAGGAACAAGAACCTCAGAGCTACTGTATGTCTGGGTTAGATAGCTTGGGCCTTCACTCCTTGCTCCCCTTTCTATGTAACTTTTTTTTTTAAATTAAGAAACATTAAGTTATTAATGTTGCTGATCTGGTTTCCATGCAGCCCAGCTGCTTTTCTCCCTCATCCTTGTTTCTATGGGAGCCGTCTACGGGTTCCCTAGATGGTGCTATTTTGCTGTGTACAGGCCCCCTTTCCTGATGAGTCTTTCTTTTCGTTGTCTTTTTTTTTTTTTTAACTTCGATATATTTTAAAATATTAAGATGTCTTTTGCTCCTTTTTTATTTATATAAGTTATTGTGAAATGAGGCTGTCTGTTGTCTTGAATCTCCTAAAAAAATAAAGGGGGTTAAAAAAAAAAATGTGTGGCTGAATAAATACTTGGTGTTTGCAGAGGTTTCCCATGTTTTATGATAAGACCTGAGCAGATCTGAAGAGCAAAATGTGATTTGGCAAGCGTGGCTGGTGCACGCATAGCACCTCTTTGAGAACACGTGAAGCCAAATGCATCTTTTCCTAGGATTTACATGCCAGTTGTGTGGGACAGCAGTGCAAGCCCAGAAAAATGGATTGCGTTAAAAGTGTTCCTAACGGGTTACATGCATTCTCACATGCTCAAAATCGCATGTTATCCCTCGAGTTCAGATTTTGCAGAGCCCCGTTAAGAAAAGATAGCCTCGCTCTTGCTCTTTTTACTAAGTGGCCTTCAGTCCAGTGGTGGAATTCAAAAATTTTTTTACTACTGGTTCTGTGGGCGTGGCAGGGGAAGGATACTACAAAATCCCCATTCCCTCCCCCTCCTGGGGGAAAGATACTGCAAAATCCCCATTCCCCACTCCTGGGGGAAGGATACTGCAAAATCCCCATTCCCTCCCCACTCCTGGGGGAAGGATACTGCAAAATCTCCATTCCCACCCCACTCGGGCCAGCCAGAGGTAGTATTTGCCGGTTCTCCGAACTACTCAAAATTTCCGCTACCGGTTCTCCAGAACTTGCTGAATTTCACTCGCTTCAGTCCAGGCAAAGCTAAGGCAGTCTTGGAAGGCAGAGTTAAGGGCTGCAGCATTTTTGCTTGAGCTAGAAATCTGTTCACTCAAGCTTCTAAAGCGTGTAGAATCCCAGAACCCTGCTTCCAGCAGAAAGGGAAGGCCATGGCATCATTCTGCAAAGTAACATTTCCTTTGATTGCCTACAATTCTTTGTCTCTGTTCAGAAGTGAAGCTCCGCTGTTAGTAAGTGGTCATAACTCTGTAAACTTTTTCTTCTGCTTTTTGGCCATTGTGGGGTTGGCACTGGGTGAACTCCGTGGTAAGGCAGTGACATTTCTCTCTTCACTCAAGCTAAAGTGTGTGAGCTTTTTAAAAATTTGCTTTTAAAATAACAACAAAAGGAAAACTAATTGGAATACAAATGCATACATTGTGGAAGAAAAACAATGCATGGAGTGCTTTAAAAAGTGAAAAAAATACAACAAAGCAGTCAACCTATTAACACAATTTTATATATACTTATCTAATGTGAATGTGATTCAGATGCATAGGTATTTCTAATTTATCTTAAATAACTCATTTTCACCTGTGTTTTGAATAAATGAGTTCTGTATTTCATTGGGCTTGTCCAAACAATGTCTGCTCATAAGTGGCAAATGCAGTCAGGTCTTCAATCCATTGAGTCGAAAAGGCCATAACATTTATCTTCCCAATGTTGCAGTTATCGGCAGCATTGGAAATATTTTTTGGCCATAGAAAAAAAAGGCAGGGATCCATTTGCATTAACCACCTGTCAGATTCCATGTACTAGTTGTATAATTCAAGAGAATAGTATCCACTCAAAACGTTAGCTTTTGTCACAGTCATATTTACACAGTGTGAGCTTAACTTCCCTTACATTCCTCAGTGCATGCTTTCAGTGACGGTTGAATCCAAATCAGAAATGAAACAGCTATGCCTTAAAGAGAAGGAACTAGGATTTTCCCAACAGGATGGAAACGGGAACCTATCTTGTATTCAGGTTTCACATTACTAAATTAGCTGGGGATTTCCCAGGTTTCTGAAAACATTTTTTCTTGGCATACTTGGAAATGCTAGGAATTGAATCCAGAATCTTCTCTATGTAGGTTGTATGTTTTACTGTTGAGGTGTGGCGTTCTCTGTATAGTCATGGGCATGGATAGAAATAGGCAACCTGCCTATTTAAAGTACTTGAGCCACCGGCTTCCTACAGACCTAGGCTAATTGCAGAGATGTTGACATTTGCCCTAGATCAGAGCTTGTAATTAGCTTAAGTTTGCAGAAGGCAGGTTGCACTGGAAGGGGAATAGAAGAAAGCTTGGCTTACATCCAGGGACTCAACAGGAGTCCTACAAAAGCTTAAGCTTCCAGTGAAGGCATCAAAAAGCTTGGCTCAATCAATGGCATTATTGTCAGAGTGGCAAAAGGCCATTTTTTTTTCCTGCTTCAGTGGCTCTCGCTTTCCGCAGATCCTTGGCACCGCCTAGTGATCTAAAGTGTAAATAGCATTGTTGCATTGCACAGCCCTTGCATCACCATCCAGTAAATGCCAGCTTGGTGACCAAGGTTGCAAGCAGGTTGGTTTCCTTTGGAGACCATTTCATCAACAGCGTTAATAGCAGTGAGGTTTGAGCAGAGCAGGACTCTGAGGGGAAAATTGGGAGAGGGGGATGGAGACCTGCACTCTTGTCCTCCATTACATCACATCTGATTTTATTGCCTGGCTCCTCCTTGGTAGGTTCTGGATGGGATGCTGAAAGCCTCTAAAATATTTAATTTTGCTAGACATGCTTTTCATTATTAACACGCAAAGGGCAGGAACTGGAAAACAACCTGGAAAGAGGTTATGATGAAAACTTTCTAGACAAGAGGCAATCACATCTTATAGCAAACAATTGAAAGAGTGGAAAAATTTAGCCTTGAAAAGATGAAGGGCAACATAAGAAAATAATTCAGCTCCTTGTGGCTAGCTACCCTGCAGAAAACAGCACCAGGCTTCTGCTTGCTGTGCCCAAGAGGGAACAATACCATTAATAAGCTCATTTGAGTACTATGCACAAATATAAGTGGGTAGCAACGTGGTCAGGGCAACCTCAGGCAAGCCTCTCCCTGCCTTGCCTGTAATAGTGGATGGAAGGATTTGGGTTAGCTTAGTTTTTAACTAAGTTTTTAAAAGATTTGGGAAAATGTCATGGCTGTCCATTCACACTGACTTGGGGGCTGAGGTAGCTATTATGTATGCCAAGGAACTCGGAATCCATTTCTTGCTTCCCTACACCACCTCCATTTGATGCGAATGGCAAGAAACCAGAAAATTGCCACAAAGAAATAACTGGCTCACAAGCCCTCTTGACACCCATAATTATTCATTTTTCTATCTTCAATACAGGTAGTCCTCGACTTACAATAATTCATTTAGTGACCGTTCAGTTACAACGGCAATGAAAAAAGTGACATGACATTTTTCACAGGTACCACTTTTACAGCATCCTCATGATCATGTGATCAAAATTCAGACGCTTGGCAACTGGTTCATACTTATGACCGTTGCTGAGTCCCAAGGTCATGCTTTTGTGACCTTCCAACAAGCAAAGTCAATGGGGAAAACCGATTCCCTTAACTGTGGCAAGAAAATTTGTAAAATGGGTCTTGTTCTGCAATTACCCATCCAATAAGACAGACCCAATATTGGACTTGGTTGCAGTGCTTAGCTTTATCTGTCAGGTTTCTAGCATGGTTTGTATCCATTACTGAGATGTAGCTACCTGCTAGCCACTTCAAAGTAGACCGCATTAGGAAACCAAAATCATGTAGGCCAGTGCAGCTTTTATTATAAAATGTTGAAAGCTGCCCAGAGTTGCCTCTTAATGAGATGGGTGGACTAAAAATAAAGCTATAACAGCAGCTTTCAAACTTGTTTTCCCCTCCCTCTTTGTGAGAACTAGGAAGAGGCTTGTCCGAGATGTTTACCCAGGTTATATTTCTCCCCTGGACTTGGTCCTCTTGGATCTATTATCTTGGTAGCAGCTCTTCCTCCTGCCTCAAGACCATTCCCATTTCCCTCTACACTACCCATTTGAAGGGATGCAGTTATAGTCAGAGGCCTCGACAGAGATAGGTCAATGAGATGGATCCGGGTTTACTCACTGAAATTAAGACAATTTTAGAAATCAGAAGGTTCCCCACCAGTGGCCTAATGATAATCTCAAGAACCAGGAAGAGAATCCCAGAGCATATCATAAAAAACTTAAGAAATTGCAACTAGAAACTGTTTGCAACAGTCTTGGTGAAAGTAAAACGGATACATGGTAAAGTTTGAGGATTTTTATTTTAATATTTTTCCCATACAAAGCAAGACAATGTAAATTTTATTTGAATCAAAACACCGTTGTTTTTTTGTTCAAAAACCCTGTCTCTTCACAGTAGGCGGCTAAAGAATGCAGCCAGGGCTGGCCATCCAAAGAGCGACAGAGTTTACTCTATTAAACCCTGTTAGACAAGGTCTCTATGAAGTAGATTCTTGCAGTTTAGTTCTTGGCACTATTCCAAGGGGGAAGGAGGGATGAAGAACGGAGGACGTAAAAAAAATTTGTTTTCTCAAGCAAGCAAAACTGGAGCCTGGTTTCAGATGCCAAGAAGAGCAGGAGAAACATCTGGTTAGCTGCAAGGAAAGCTTAACGGGCATGTAAGAGAGGGAGCCATTTTTAATACCAAGTGTACACCGATCCCAGTTTCTCCAGGATGTAGGAATACTATTCCCGTTATACAATATCCAGCCAATTCCCTCCAACCCATTTGCGGTAGGATTCATTCCCAGATGTTAAAAGGGAAGAGGCAGCCCCATGTCACCCTGACATCTTGCTGACCAAGGCTACTCAGTCCCATTAATAGTTCAAGGTGCTGGGTTCATCCTCCTCCTAAGCGAACTCAAATAATTAAATATCAGGAATGCAATTAAACCAGACCAGACCTTACCACACTGACACCTATCTAAAGACAAACACACAAACAAATAAAAACCTGTCAGCAGTTGCTAAAAACTGAGATGAGTGCCAGACAAAATTTCTCACCTGCACAAGTTAGTTTTTGCTAACCAGTGGCAAAATGAGGGTGGAGAAGTTAGCACGATGGATCAGATCATAGAAGATCTCCAACAGGAGTTTTTCAATCTGCAACTAGTTTTATAGCCTTGCATCTTTCTTCCCACCCTCTCCCCTCCACCCATCCTAGAGGAAGGAACTTGAGCAACATCCATCTCTTTAAAACCCCTGCAGACAAGTCAGCCTTATTATCAGGCAAATGTTTCAAAACAATTTCAGAGTATCACCGGCACCAGCAAGAGGCAAGTTCTCCCCTGCTCTGCTCTCACTGCAATTTGAATGTGATCGGAGGTGAATAGAAAAATGGAAGGGACTTATGCTACCCCCCTCAAGTGAAAACTGCCATGTCATTACCAATAATACAGATATGAACTCAGCCTCTGATAGTCAGAAGAGTGAAGTGGGATATGTGTTTATGTAGAAGTGGGGCAAAGCCAGACTCCAGCATTAGGATCAGCCAGTTAGCTTTTTCAAGAGGCTCAAAAAAAAAAAAAAAAAAAAAAAAAAAAACCAAGGGAAAAAAAATCCAATTTCCACAAAGTATGAAAATGTCACAGATGCTTCTCATTCACACAGAAGAACAGGGGGCACCTTTAATGAAGATCAAGTTGGATGGAAGCAAGAAAGAGGCAAAGGGGGGTAAGAAACAGGAATCTCCACGCAGGCATCTGGTTTCGCTTTATTTTTCTTTTTTCTTCTTGTTCTGAAAGGAAACAAAAATCACTGTCAGTGCTCTGAGCTCCTGGACGCATCGATCAGGATCCCATGCCAGTTAGAGATATTTGCTCTGTTCTAGGTTAGAATGCTGATGCAACCATATACACCCAATTTTGCAGACCCCTGGAGAAATCGGTGATCACTTGGACGAAAGATGTGATGAACCAAGGCCATCCTAATTGCTAGAGAACGTTTTGTAATGAATGGTATTTGCTCACCTATATCACAGCTAGACTTAGAAGTTCTCACCCGCTCTCCCTTAATTCTTGCAAAAAAAAATTTTGTGTGCCATCCTGAAAATAGTATGAAAGTGCAACTTGCAAATAGTTCTTCCTTGCTGAATGAGCAAGCAATGAAGCCTGCAGCTAGGACGGGGAAAGGTTGGGAAGATGGACTTTGAAACATGCCAGGGAGTCAAAGGTAGTGCCTGTTTCTAGAATGGCCCAGCTGTCAAGGGAGGTTAATTTCACATTGATAATGTGCCAATTCCATCTTTTCCCACTTTGCATGAAACCAAGCCTTCCTATGCCTCCATCCCTCCATCTTCATTCCCTACTCTTAATAAACCTTCATCCCTTTACTCTGTTTTTCACTTCCTGCATGGCTCATTATGCGTATGGATCAAGCTTTCCTTTGATTCATCTTTGATTACTTACTCTTCAATCTTTTATTCAGCTCTCTATTTTTTCTAAACAATTTTATATCTTATGCTTTATATATATTTATTATTTTTAAAAAGTCCTCCCCATTTTTGTAAAGCTTCCCCTTTCCTTTTGAGCTTATATTTGATACATATACCTACGGGAGGAGGCAACAGCTAAATGCACTTACTATAATAGTCCTATTAATGTGCAGTAAAAAAGATTATGTGCTAAAAAGAAATGGGGGCATTCTAGTTGGGAGGTAGGGCTTTCCGTTTAGAAAAGTCAGGGTAAGAAACCACCTGCTTTTGCCAAGTAGAAAGTTTCTCTCCCAAAGCATCTGCCTCTCAATGGAAACACCCTGCGCTGGAACTCTGTAATCATGGCTTCTTGCTTGCCTTTGTGGGAGATGGTGACCTTGGCCACTTAATGGATATGCATCAGAGAAAGCCCCGTGCGTGCAGACCTACCTCATTCATGCCCAAGATGACCATGAGCTCCCGGAAGATGTTAACGAAGTCCAGGAAAAGATCCACGCAGTGCCTGGCACAAAGAGAAAGGTGTTGTACATCAAGTTATACCCTAAAACGGGTGTCAAACTGGCAGCCCATGGGCCGGATGCATTACACACAGGCCATGCCCACCCCACCCTGGCTCTGGAAAAGCAAAAAACGCTGCAATACATCACATGAAGTGATCAAGTTTGACACCTGTGCCCTAAAATTACAAATGGGAGGCTTTGCCAGAGCCTCTTCTCTGCTCTATTGTTTTATTCATAACCAACTATTTGTGTACCATCTTCTACTGCCAGAGTTCATCTGAAATCTTGCTTCCATATTTAACTCTGGCTTTTTCCACCATAAAGCTTTTAACCTCCCTGCTTTCCTCCAAGCGAAGTCTCTTTTATTTTGAACCCAATGGAGAAGAAGCTCTTCTGCATCTCCTGTTTAGTTTCCTCACTTGAAAATCCTTATCGTATGTGGCAGTTCCTTCCTCTCCAACTCTTACATAGCCCTAGGCTTGTCACCAACACTCACCAGATATAGTCCTTGTCTCCATTCTCAGCCTTCTCAATGATGAGCTGAGTGTCAAACAGCACAAAGCCACACATAACCATAAGTCCAATGTAGAGATTAGCCTGGAGGAAGAAAGAAAGCCAATTAGACAAAATCATTCCAATGACACAGCCTGGCCCTGCAACCTACTGAGAAACCTGAAGTGGTTCTGTGTTAACTCCCGGCTTCAATATATACAGAGCCGGATCTCTTCATAAATTAAATGAATTCATTGTTCACAATGTCAGCATTAATTCCATTTTCGTTTCTGACAATAACTTTCTAGTTATTATTTTGTGTACCTAAACACTGCATCCAATAAAGTACCTGGGGGGGGGGGACCCTCAGAATACCTAAAGCTCACAGAAGGTTGCTTTCCAATGCCGGAGGTGTCTGTATAATAAGATGTCTGATAATTACGGTACTCATCTGCAGCCATCATTACAGAATGTAATGAAAAATACTGCAATCTGTATAAAGCCCCAAATCTGTTATTCTAATGCAGGACATCTTGCTCGTACAATAAGCTAAAAGAAAAGGGAAGCTGGGCACATCTGAACAGCTGCTCCCAGTAGGCCAGTTGCCAGTTTTATGTTCCAAAAAGGCAGGTTTGCTACAGGGGCTTGGGCTGCTATCAACTTTCAAGCTGACAAGACCAGGAAAACGGCAGCCACTCACCGTGAAAAGCCAAGTTGAGCCCAAGAAAATGTTGATCAGGGAGAACAGCAGCATCAAGAACAGGCCAGAGAAAAGGACACCTGAAAAAGGAGCAGAATCACGATGAGCAAAAACGGCCAATCAAAATGAACCCGACCTCTTCGAAAGTAAGTGGGCAGTGGTTGCTGCTGCAGCAGCTGCTTACCCCCTAGATACAGGTAGGCACGGCGCTTAGCAAAGAGAGCACTCAGGGAGAAGCAGCTGAAGATCACTGCTGTGCCCAGGAAAGCAGTTGGGATGATGCTGTAGGGAGGGAAGGGACAAGAATGAATGCCTAAGGAGGAGATGGATGGAAGGAAGGACTCAAGAGCTATGAATTAACAGAATTTGCTTTAGAAATATTCAAAGGGTTTGACTTTTAAGTCTCTGAAAGGATCTAGATGCTTCAATGGGAAGAGCTTAGTAACAGCCCCAGTGTGCCCCCATCATTACTGCTGAGCAGGATATCTGGTTCTCACTTTCAAGGTGAAAAGTGGCAAAGGATAGAGCAACTGGTGAGTTTCCCCTTACCTGGGGTTGATGGCAATGCACATCTCCAGCAGAGGACCCAGGTTGACTCCTGGAAGAGGAAGGAATGTAGCCTCAGGGACAAGTTTCTCGCTCATGCGTATGTACATATATACTTTCCAATTCATTACATGTATATATTTAAAAGACATAAATTATGGATTACACAAGCACTCCCTTCATAAAAGACATAAGAGGGGCAAAATGCCACACAAAAACATTCCGAAAGTGATAAGGTGCTCTATGTCATTTCAGATAGGCAGGGAGCTCTCATTTTATAGCATTCTATTTTATTTGCTGCGTTCTTCCTTTTAGCTGGAAAACCATTTGGCTTCCTTTTCAGACACAGGATTACACAAGAGCCATTCTGCTGTAGTGTGATACTAGGCAGCTGCATTCATGCATGAAGTAAACTTTGCCCAGTGCTTCCGCCATCAATCATTGCCATTCTGCCAGATCCTCTGATGGCCTTGATGGCACCATTTCATTCCTCCCACAGCATAGCTCCCACTACCCCAGCAAGAGAAAGCAGCTAAAAATGTCTTTCTTGCTTATGGTAATTCCACATTTGCACATGTGGAGTATTAAACTGCTGCTACTCCCCTCAGTTCTCGCTTCTCCAGCCCCGCACATACCAGTGAGGAAAGCAAAGCCTGCCAGGATAGCCAGACGTTTCTCTTCAGTTTCTCGGCTGTGGGGTGTGGCCATCAACCAAATCATAAGGCCTAATGCTCCCAGGCCAGTCAGCAGTCCAAACTGCAAAACAAAGTGGGAAAGACAGAGATTAACACAGGCTGGTCAGAAGAAAGACCCAGTTCAACCTAAGCCCGTTTGCTGCATCTCCCACTCTTTTAAAGAAAATTCTGGTCATCAGAACCGTTTTCCCATGCAGATTTTGAAAGGAAACAAGGAATCAGTATTTTGCATAGCCGGTCTCTTGGAAGGGAAATTCTGTCACTGTTCAATTTTTAAATTTAATTATGAATGCGTTCAATCTTAAATATTTTAAATACACAGCTAGATTTTCATCAGTTTTCTGTTACGACAATTTTATAAGCACCAGTGAAATCTGTAACGATTCTGCTCTGCAAGTAGGATTATGTACGTATCCTACATAGGCATGTAGAAAAAGGTCTAGCAAAAAGATATGGAAATGGAAACTAGAACGCCGTTCTCCGAATTTAAACTTTATTAACTACCGTAGGGCTTAAGTTTAAATGTAAACATTAACAAGTTATTCTGATAATGAGAAAATTTTCAATCTGGCAGGACTCTGAGCAGTGTATCTATAGTCCCACCTCTCACTTGAGTTTCACAATAGAAACAAAAAGCTCTTTCAAACAGGAACAAAGACCTCTGAGAACATGTATTTATTTAGAGACTTTTTGTTGGGATATGTTTGTGGAAAGTTATAAAGGCTTAGAATTTCACTGAATATGCCATCTAGCCATGGAGCACCAGCAGAGAACCACAAAAAAGGATACATTCCTGCTTATTTCCACAAGCCGGAATGTACTGTTTTGCAGTCTTCCTGCTGGCATTTAGCCCTCAATAACCAAGATGACCTTCAGCTTATATATCGTCCCAGAGAAATGCCTTAGAATTCTTACCTGCACCAGCTGAGTTACCACATTGATATAAGCACCAGCCGCCGCTAGGAACATACATAATGCAAAGCTGGCATACACCTTCTTCAGGTGCTGCTGAGTTGATGCAGAACTATAGGGATGAAGGAAGAAAATTAAGCTCTGTTACACAATACTTAGAAGCACAGCCATTCCCAAACTGACCATTTGCTAGCTTCTAGCCATATCACAAACCACACAGAGTCAATAGTATCTAGCCTGCTTCAGAGAAAGCTTACATTTTCTTGACACCATCACTAAGAATCCCTTACTTCAGAATCTCCAGTGTTGAAATACTGCTTCCAGAGGGGACCAAGTATTTCCCAAAGATATGAAGGTTTTTAAGACAGTTAGAAACACCTGAGGGGTTTGGTCGTAGAGAAATGCAGTGCGAATGTACAAGGATATGCAGTTCTGACTTGCACAGCACATCATTCTGGCAACAGGCTACGGCATCAAGAGCCATTTTGAATAGCTCTGCCCTCTTTGGAAAACAAAGACGGTTTTAATCCACAATCTTTTCTCAAGAAAACAGAAAAAATGAGGTGGTCTGGCTCCAGTAACCCAAGTCCTGCCAGCCTTCTCACCATCTTTCATGGGTGATGGAGCCTACCTAACCTCACATCTGTTCCTAAACATCCAAGAAAGAAATTGAATCGTCTCAGAATAAGATTAAGCAGGCAACAGGTACTCACATGTGGGAGAACTTGAAGAGGGCATCAAAATTTATGTTCCTGTTGAAAACATCCATAGCACTAGTTGATGAGGTGCAATTCTCTATGTCAAAACACACAATCTGCAGAAAGGGAAAGGAAGGCCACATTAAATGGAGAAGACCTAAATAGATTTTCCCCCCTTAGAACTGGTGTGTTCAATCTCTACTTTTCTTCTTATAGACAAGCTCCTCCCACCTGCTTGTTCAATTCACATTAAACAGCACCCTCAGTCCATAGCGCAGTTTTAAAATGACATCAACCCCCTCCCCCCATTTACATCTTTTGTGGTGGCACTTCTGCAGAATTCCTAGGTTTTCTTTTTCCTCTGGGTAAAAGGAACTTCAAATAATCAAATTATTATCATTACCAAGGAACCAAGCACAGCAACATAAGGGAACAGAGAAGTTAAAGCAGTAGCTTAAAGATATATAGAAGCAAAAAACAGATTTTCCAGGTCCAAGAAAAAATACATTTGCTTCATCTGAATACTCCTACAGAAAACACATTTCTACACAGACTACTTTATATCCTTCTCTCCATGTAGTCTCCTGTTTCCATCAATTCAATCTCCAGCTACAGTATAAGATATGCAATCCAGATTTTACCCAAAAGACACAGGTTAAGTAAGTAAACTCCTGATGCACCACTGCTAAAAAGTTATTCTTTCTACTTGAGACTCACCAGCTAGTCCAATATGTATCCCACAAGCTTCTTCCTCTTTGTCCTACTCTGAAAAATCTAGAGACTGCAACGGTTCGGCAGGCACCCAAACTGGCTTGGTGTATATGGTGCAATTATTGCAGGCTCTTGCAAGGCTAGTTAAAGCCTCCTTGAGGAATTGTGCTCACCTGGGAGCCTTGCTTCACAACTCAGCAGCTGGAAAGCAAGAGCATTAGCCTCCTTAATGATCTTCCCAGGAAAGGATGGGGTGGAGTTAGAGAAAGGCAGCCCTCCCAGCTTGAGAGTCAAGGCCAATATGTTGGGTTATTATTCTCTAGGAGGTGGGATTCCACCCCACTGTTCTGTTTTGTAACAACATGCACAGGTATTTTACTCACTCAGGGGAGCAGCATGAGCATTTTACTTAACAATACAAGCATTTCTACCCTCCTCCATCCAAAGGTTATTCTTAACTAGTTGCTCTAACCTTATGGCAAAGAATGGCCATAGCTATGTGGAAACCAGTCCAGCAACTAAATACTTATTTTCTGATAGGCAGGAAGATCCGGCTTGGCAAGAAATTTGCATTGTAGGTTTGTATTTGCTAACAAGGTGCACTAGTGTTAAGGAAATGCCTTTAATCTTGTGAGAGATTAAACTCACATCTCTATCTTCTTATATTTCTCTACATTTACTTCATTTATCAGAGGCATATACATGGGGGGGGAGGAGGAGGATCACACTGAAAAGCTCTAAAAAGGAAGTCTGTCTTGAGGTATCAAAAGCCACACTTTAAGAACAACCTGAATTGGAAAGCTGAACCTGAAAATTACACAGCGTGTAATTTGGGTATTAGGTGCTTGTATTAGGTAACATGACTCAACCATCAGGGCATCAAAATAGGTCACACAAGAGTGGAAGAAATATTTTCTGCCCAGCACCCAGTTCTTCCAGATGCCAAAAGCTATTCAAAGAAGAGCTTAGATAAGATCCAAGACTAGGGAATCATTTTGAAATATAGATTTCTGCAATGGGAGGGAGACCCTCTTCATAACAAAGCATAAAGCTGAAACTATTCCAGAAGAAAGTATAAGTTCGCACTTCTCACTACTGACATATCTGAAAAGTAAGGAGCAAAATGAGAACCTATAAAGCTCGGGATTACTCTTAATAAGCATCCTTTATGTTTCAAAAAGCCTTATACTTTTCCAGCAGCTTTAGCCACAGCAGGAGTAACTAATGGTTTTCATTAGTGTTCTCCGAGCCCACTTAGCCACAGAGAATATAGGAAAGAATTTTTACATTACATTTTAGACCATTTGTTCACAGACAGCAGTCCATTTATGGTGTGCCTGAAATGGAATATTATTTCTTTCACACATAGATAAAACTCTCGAAACGTGTTTTATTTCATGCTTGGAGCAATTAAAATGGCCATTGAAGGTTGCAACTTCACAACGTAGAAATATGTTCAGCATGCCCCACTCAAAATGTGATGCCACTCAAAACAGCTGAGATTTTTTTTTCATGCTTGCAACATTCAAAATGGCTGTTTTCAACTAAAGATATACTGCACATCTCTACTTCCATTTATGACAGATGGTAGCACTAGTTATCTACATCTGAGTTTAAAAAATTTCTGGTCCTGCAACCCAAGGCGCTGACCAGCTCTGATTGAATATATTATGCTTATAATTAAATTGAATTTTTCCCATTCTACAAAACCCATCCATCTTGCAAATTAACTTTCAATATAAATAATGAAAATTAATTTGCATTGTTTAAAAACAAGACGGCTTCAACTATTTTGCAGATCACAAAGAAATCTGAGAAAGTGAAAGGCCATGTACACCTCCTTCACATTAATATATTTTTCCTTCAGCATTAACATCAGATCCAGTAATGTGAAAATTATGAATCACAGACTAGCATTTTAGATATGAGGTTCTATGCAACATGCCTACAGAAAAGAGTTTTGTCAGTTTTAGAATGTTGACCAAGTACAAAGAATTTTTGGACTGATTCTCCTGGGTAAGCTGTAAGACTGTGGATGATTGACTTTGAAGGAAAACCAAAAAACTGCCATTGGGAAGGAACACAGTTCAGGAATACAGAAGGATGGTGGCATGTCCAGCAAAAAGAATGTTAACTGTTGATTGAATGGAAAGGCTCCTAGTTCATATTTACATTTAGCTTTTGCAATCCCAGTAGTATCCAAAAACATCCCTATTTGTGTAAGTACAATCAGAAGAACGACAATCTTATTAAAATATTCTGAGGAATGACCATGATCTCATTACTCCTGCCCAATCTTTCTTTTGCCTTTAAAATCTCATAGTCATATCTTTTGGATGATAAACCTAGGATGATAATTCCCTTTATCCTAATATTTATGAGCTAGTTGGTAGCTTGCTTGGATAAGGACAATCCAAAATAAACTATAAGACAATACTTAATAAACACCAGGTTATTAGAATGTGTAAAATAGAACTCATACCATCACTGTACACCCAAATATGAGGTGCATATTATCTAGCAGCACAGTTTGATCAAGAATGTTCTGTGAAGCAA